ACATTTCATTTGTACCTAACACACTTAATGAGCAGGGCCAAGCCTGGAGCCCTTTCCTGTCTATTTTTATGGAGAACATGGAAGTCAAAGTAGAGCCTGCTTGTACCTAATTTGCCAGCGTAGATGCAATGTCACTTTCTGAAGCTACCAGCTCTTTTATACCAAATGATGGCCTAGCCAAATTAAGATCTCAATAAATCCTTTTTAGAAAAAGTTGCAGTTTTTCTTTGCTGAACACTGTTTTGTTCTTCAAGTTTCATATTTTATGTTTTTTGGCTATGAGAAATGTCAGTCAAAATAATATGAACAGCTGTAAGCTGGGGAGTCTGTAGATGTGACTCAAAGTCTGTGAGATCAAGTGCCGGTTGATACTGCAATTGCTGCACAAGTGTCCTCACTTGTTCTGTCCCTTCCACTTAACGGGCTGAACGACCCATCAGAACATCAGGTGTTCCTAGCAGTAGTTTTACTTAGTTAATGAGTTTGAGGTTGATCTGTATAATTCTTTTAGCTGTTAATTGTAAGGATGGACATTTCTGAATAAGAGAAGAAGGAATGGCATCTGGGATTTCTATGGCATTTCTATGTATGGTGTACATCAGGAGTAACTTCACTCAAGTCAGCAGTTACTAAAGCATAAAGCTGGCATAAGCAAAAGCAGCACGGGACCTAACAGATGTCTCCTAAAGGAAGGCTTGAGCTAGCAAATTACATAGCAGTTTTACTCTCCATGAAAATGAAGTTAAATCAGACTCCCATATTCATTCCTCTGGCTTGACAGTCAGGCTTTGATTCATATACTACTTCCTCCCTTTCAGTATCCTTTCATACACTGCAAAAATGCTAATGAAAAGCATAAACTGCCCAGAAAACTATGCTTGTGCTTTGCTAATAATAATGTCACCAAAATGCTATTACGTAAGCTCTGAAGAATAAACTGTTACAGATGATTGTGTAGACCTCCATTTGCTGTTTCCATCTTTCACTTCCAAGGTATGGAGGTACTACAGGAAGGATTTAGTGCTATGTCTTTCAATTTAAATGACTGCTGTTTCCACTTAGGGTAATGTATGTCTGTATGTATGTAATGTCCACTTAGGGTAATATAACCAGGCTTATCTTTGGTTTGTATAATTGCTTGTGATTGCTTCTGTTTGCCTATTGGACTTAATGGATCCAAAGGAAGGTGTCTAAGGTCAGTAAGTGGGAACATTCATGTAACTGCTTTGTTTGCTATATAACCATGACATTTTATCATCAATCGGGCTTGATATGAGTTTGAGGTATTCTCAGTACTTGGGAAAACTGGTATTTGTGGCTTCTGGGAATGAAGTAGGCTTATATACGTGCAAGAGTTGTAGCACCACCAGCAAGATCTTTGTGGTATGAATGGAGTGGGACCCATGACCCACCCCTACTAATCCCTGCCACTCCAAGGAAGGCAGCGAGGCAGGAGGCATGCCGAACTCCCCAGGTTTTAAGCTGTAGAAACCAGGTGATATGAAACTAGGCTAAAATGATACAACTCATTTCACAAAGGCAATGAACAGAAGGTAACAAAAGTTTCAGTCTAACCTGAAAACTTCTATAACGGGGTAGACTTGAATTGATAAGACATAAGCTAAAAAAAATCCTTATAGCTCCCTAAAAAACTGTCTCCCAGTAATTAAGGTTTTATTAATCTTTCTTACCTCTCTAGTAGCACCTGTGAAAGCCTACAAAGTGCTGCACAAATGTCATTGTAATGTAGTATAAAGTACAGAAAAACATACAGTTTGAGTATTTTGGATGACAGTGCCAAAGAAATACAAGGATATCAAAGTACTTTCGGAAAGTAATTGGCTCATAATACTCTTGTGAGTTATGGTTAGCAATTACTGTACACTTGTTGTAGATAGGAAAGTTGAGACATAGAGGGATTTAAGCAACAAAATCACATTCCGAAGTTTCACATATGCGAAGAAAAGCTGCCAGCAAAAAGCAACAAAACCAAAAATGTATCCACCAGGAAATCAGTGAATTTTTATTTCAGATATAAAAATGGAAACTTTATGGGAAACCAAGTTCCATCCATTAGGAAGCTGTATGAGTGAAATCTTGGCATATTCTGATCAGCGGGGAATCACAGTGCTAGCAAGTTGCTGCTTTACTAGAGGAACTATCTATCCCACTTCCCATATTCAATATAGATATCTTTTTAATTCAAATATTTATGTGGGGTGAATTCTATTTAATTTATATTATAATGTACTAGAACTTTAAAGACATAACTGTGTGTTTAGAAATTTCTTTCCATTTAATTGTGAAGCTTACTCTGTCAGAGTTTTATGTTTTACTTAGTAACTTTCTCTCTCTCTCTCTCTCTCTCTCTCTCTCTCTCTTTCTGTTGTAAGGGCTGAAGACATACTATACTTTGTTTTTCTGTATGTTCTGTTATGGAGAGATGCTGGTTTATTATTTTTAAAGGATGTTTACAATTTCTGCAGCTAAATCATCAGATGATCTCGTTACCTTTCCATAGGTTGTTGATGTGCTTATATTTTGTGAGCTCCACTTGAATTTCATACCTTATTTGGAACCTAGAGTGCTAAATTTTTAATCTCTGTTTATAATTATTCCTTATTTTACTTCAGCAATTGTTATTCGGCAATAAACTTATTTTATTCCTTATTTATTTCAGCATTTATGATGTTTTAAAATACGAACTGGATTTAAAATAAACTTTAAATGTTGACCATTCCAAATTCTGTTGCATAGATTTAGAGACTTTGGTTTTGATTATTGGCTTCCTCTTTGTCTTCCTTGTTTCTTTTTCCTTTCATTTTGTGTATAATGCCTGTACTACATGAAAGCTACGAAGAAGACCGCTCATTGCTGTAAAGTTTCATGATCAGTCCTTTACCTCCTGATAGGCAGCATTACAGCAGCAGTGTTTGAGAAACATTAAGTTTTTCATTGAAAATAGCTACATGAAGTCTATTCTTTTTTTCTCTTCTCTCAAGAAGCACTTAGATGTAAAAAATCCACATAAAGGTACTACAAAACTCAAACTAAAAGTTATCAGAATAGTAGATTTTTATCAGACTCTTCAGATTCTTAAATCCTGTGACTTACTTAGTATGAGACAAACAGTTCTGACAATGTGTGTGTAGTTTTAAATAAATTTTATTTCATTTAGATACATTAATTTAGTTAGATTCATTTAAAACAGAAAATCTAAAACTCAGGGCTACAGTGAAGGGCTAAAGCCCACTGTTAAAAGGCACCAAAGAGATTCATCAAACCATAATATAAGCTAAGGGAACTCCATTTAATTGTTTTAAAAAGATGTTGTTATTTTATGTCAGTCTTGTGATTTGGGGAAAGGGAGGAGGACAGGAGGAATTGTCTCCAGTTCATTGTATAGACAGGGTAGAGGGCTCTGAACTCGTGGTGACTGTTCTGCTTGCATGGCAATTTGTGGCACCTGAGCCTTCAAACTTTGAGCCAACTGACTGCTGTCTCTGTAACAGTAAATATAGCATGTGCTGCTGCAAATTGTTGCTCTGTTTTCTGGTAGTGAGCATGCTGTGTCTTGGTCTAAAGGCTGTTCTTGACATAGATGAGCATTGGACCAAGGCTTTCTAGAAATAGATATTTGCAGAATCAACAGTTATATAGTCCCAGTAATTACTATAGCATGATCATCTGAGTAGAAGTTTTCAGGATAAGGCTTATTTGTAAAAGCTGTAGCATACTGTAGATGCTATGATAATACATTCATTTTTCCTTTGATCACTACAGAATACTCTGGGTTGCATGAGTAATGCTATAATAATCAGTATGCATACTGATGATGCTATTTTTTTGCTCTCAGTTATAATGAAACCAAATGCAGAGAAGCAAAACCCTGCTTATCTCTTAAAGGGTATTGAAATATACTCTAAGATAGTAGAAGATGGGCGGAAAATATAGCTAGATGCTTGTTCTCTACTGTCCTCTAAATAGTGCCTCTGTAATTCCCTTATCCCAAATATACCTCATAGTTATCTAGATGATAGTAGTTTAACTTCACTAAGATGTTAGACAGAACAGTGTAAAGTTCCTTAAATTTATATGTGATAGCATCCCTATGCCTTGACAACTACAGCCAGCATGAATGGCAATGGTTTATGCTGTGATACTTTGCTGGGGAAAAACAAAACCTATTTGTACTCATCATCTTGCGTTTCCTAACAATTTCGTAGCAACTGAGAACGACAGTGGCCTGATACGCTTGTTGTACTCACGGAAATCGGATGAACACGAGTGAGCCATCTGTAATCATAGCTGCGAGGCTCCAAAGTTCATTGCATTCGCTGGCATGAAATTAACTCTGGCTACCGCTAGAAAATGACAGTACTGAGATGGAGGTTTATTGCATAATTAGTTAAGCAGTATTTCATCTAAGGGTCTTATCAAGCTAGAAGACAGGCATATCTGTTGTAATTATATTTTACATCAGTAATGTGACACATTAATGAAATGTGTCACTTCACTAGTGTTAGGATACATTTCATTAATGCAAAACACTTTTGTTGCATGCTTTACATTTGGAAACAGATTTAAGTATTAAGTGGCTAATGTCTGCAGCCAGGGAATCCTTTCCGAATTTGTAACACTGACCAGAACAGACCGCATTACACTCTCCAAATGGTGCATTTTTGCATTTGAATGTCTGAATTATCCTGGTTTCTTAGAGACGACCACAACACCAACATCTTAAATCCTCAAAATATTGTCCGCTTCATTGAATGCTCGTGATCTAAGCATATGTGTAATTATTCTGTAATTCTCCCCAAAATGTGATTCCTTGGAAATGCATACTAGATTTCCCCTATTGTAGCTGCAATGACTATTTCTTTGTGCCCGTTTCTTTAAATACGGTCACAAGGAAGTCTGTGTCCCCCCCCCGCTCTTTGTACGCCCATCAGGAGAAAAAACCAAAAACCTGCTTCATTTGTTTCAGGCTACAGATCGAGGTCACAGAAAGACCATTTAAGATAGTATACATACAACAGTGATCTTTCTTACAAGAAACAAGCCTAATGCCACATACAATGGACTTACAGCTGGGCAAGTATACAAAATGAGAATTTGCACTGGTTACCAAACCTGGTTGTGATAATGTATGCATGTGTATGCTTTGGAAGAGGATAAAGGGGAATCCCATGTACCTAAAGCAGATGTGGCGCATATCACGCAACAGTGAAGATGATTTTTCAGAAATTGCTACTAGTGCCAAATATATAGCCTCTATAAAAAAATCCTGTTTGTCTGTGGGGAAAATTCATTGCATTCATTTTTAAACAGTTAGTTCTGTAATGCCAAAAATGCTGTATATAATTTTAACTGAAATATCTCTTGCTTTTCACTCACAGTAAGAAAGTTCTTGTGCAACATGAGTATGCCAGACACTAGAGTGTAGTGGCTAAGAGCTCATCTTACTAATTTGTGGTTCAGAGATGTCTTTATCAGGCTGGTTATATGGGAATTACATGGAAATCTTCCTTCTGAGACTTTCATAGTAGTTTCTCTTAGCATATTCCATTAAAAAAAAAACCCTGATCTAGATCTTTAATAATTATTTGAGAAAACTTGATAATTATTTCATTTTAAAGGCACAAAACTCAATCAAAATTAGAAATGCGTGAAATAATGTGTCATTAAAGAAAATCAAACAGATTTAAAATTTGCTGCAAATTTTCTGAGGCTCTTTTTAGGTTTAAAGGTTCCTTGATGAGTAGATGTCTCCCATAACATTTTTTTTCATGAGAATTGTGCCTTTTTCAGGAAAAAGAAAAGTGTTAGGGTGATTCTGCCAGAGTGAAAATTGTTTCAATTAAAACAGCTCTCCAAGGTATAAGGTTTTATGGCATGAAATTAAAGGCCTTTTCTGAGGATGTTTTGTAAAGCAATACTTACTAAATTTTAAAACTGATTGTGAGATTCTTTAGGATAAATATTGTGCAAAGTCTTCCACTGTAAGAAAAGTACAGACTCCCAGTTTAATTTTTCCTTTTATGCCAATAAATCATAAAAGTCTGAGTAAGAAAACAGGTTTAGCTGGAGAAATGAAATAGACTGTGTAAAATAGTTACTGCATTGATTCTCTCTATATAATATAATCCTTAGTGAGTGCTGCAATGTTTGGTTGCTCCCACCTCTTCATCTTAGATTAGTATACTATTTTGATGTTTTATTTCTTTTCTGGCTTTTCATTGTTAGATTTTCATTGCTAGAATGAAAGTACAAAATATACTTTTAGGGTTCGACTGAGAAAGAAACTAAGATTGTGGAGCTGGGAGTTAGTAGTGAACAACTGGTTCAGTACCTGCAGTTAATCTCGTGTGTTTTTTTACTCTTTAATTAAAAAATTGACATTTACTGTTTAGCCCAAGTTGTACAGAATAGGAGAGGACTTTGGGTGAGATAGACTGGTACAGTTCACTAATTGTCTGAGGCCCCAAAATAGCTACTAGAGCTCCTGGAGAGGCCGGTTCCCAGGGTGTGCATCCTTGAAACTCCTCAGAGGACCGGAGGTTTCTGCATTTTGATTGCTCGCGATGGCAGTAGTTGTAGTTTACATTTTCACCTCAGTGAAGAAGACAGGAATTCATACAGAGTGTGGGTGGAGTTTGCGGCCCGAACGCAGGGTCTGTGCAGGGCCCGCGGCTCCTTGGAGCGAGGCAGGCCGAACGGAGAGGGGCGTCCTGCCAGCCGCTCTGTGCGAGGGGAGCTGCGGTGGGGGACAGGGCAAGGCGGCCTGGCTCCTCTCACCAAAACCCCAGGGCAGATGCCTGATTGGGGATGGCATTAGGTATTTGCACAAAATACCTTTTCTGCTAAAATAAGCATTTCTACCGGATGTACTTGTGCACCTGAGTTGGCAGAAGTCAACAAAGAAATTGTCTTTGAGAAGGTCATCCCAAGTCACATTCCCTTCAACTGCCTAGATCCAGGCAGAAGGTTTCCAGTGCAAGCAGATAAATATTTTCAAGCATATTATTTTTGTTCTGGAGCTGTAAGGTAAATTCCTGACCCAGTGAAGTGGATGGCAAAATGCTGAGTGACTGAAATGATGTTTGGATTTCACTGGTAAAATTATTCTCTGCTCCCAGCTGAGTTAGAACGATTGGTTTGGGAGCTGTATATACATTAACAATTTGCAATACACAAATGAGAACATATTTCTCACTCTTTC